ACACACACACACACACACACACACACACACACACACACACACACACATACACACACACACAATCTCCTACTACCACCACATAAATAAACATAATAAAAAAATTACTGTCTTACAGATGTGACCTTTTTGATGCGAGAACCTATTCCAATTGTACAAATATTTTAATGTGTCTGCAATGTATAAAATGCATTCATAAATAATGAATTAAATGTTCCTTCCTTACTTGGGAAGATTGTGGTCTATGGTCACTACAATGCCCACAACTATTTTTGAAGAATATATTTAATTGCTAAAGAACATTTTACATTTAGAAATGACAGTAGGGAGGACTTAGTGTGTCTTTCAAGTACAGTGAGGAAGCCTGCCTAGAGTAAGTGAAACCTATGTTGGGATTTCTAGAAGAATCAGTTAACGAATGACATTGTCTCCGTGGGGCAACCAGGTAGAGAAGGGATGAGGTATTGCTGACATAGAGATGTGGTCCTAAGAGACAAGGCAGGGGCTGGAGAGATGGCTCAGAGGTTAAGAGCACTGGCTGGTCTTCCAGAGGTCCTGTGTTCAAATCCTAGACAACCACACGGTGGCTCACAACCATCTATAATGAGATCTGGTGCCCTCTTCTGAAACGCAGGCAGAACATTATCATAATAAGTAAATGAGAAAGAGGAGAGAGAGTAGGCTTGGACTGCACAGAATCTGATATGATGTGCCCAGACATTTTGACTTTGTTTAGTAAGTACTGGTGGAAGACTGACTGTAAGCAAGAAAGTAAGACGGTTAAAGTTTGCATTTTACTTTTTTAAATTCTTTTTGACACAACCTTGGAAGGTTAGAGTTATTGAAAGCTGGTGGTGAAAGCAAGGAAACCCCTGAGAGGCTCACTGATTGTCTATGCAGGCCATAGCAAGGTGTGTATTCACAAAGAATAGAGTTGACGGATAGTTAGGAAATGGCATCCACAGAACCGTCTGAGTCATAAAGACGAAGTGTTCATGAAAGTGGAGCTGAGATACATTCCAAGATGTTGAGCCCAGTTAGCAGAGATCGGTGAGGCGGATGATGCTGGCTCAGGCAAAGTCAAGATCACAGCAGATCTAGACCACAAGAGATATTTCCATGCTTCAGTTTTTAAAACGACCCAGAGAGGAAAAAAAAATATTAATGAATTGTATATTGGTTCTCTAATCAATCAGGATAGACTGGGCAATATAGGCAGTAAGAAAAAAATTCCAAAATTTCACAGGCATAACGTAGCAGAAGTGAGTTTCGCAGTCACCCTGTATATATCCTGTTTTTGTCTAGTGGAAGGCTGGCTTTGATGCTTGGCTCCTGAAGGCAAGCTGGGAAGCTTGATATCTCTGGACTGTTGGCAGTTATTTCAACAGGGAGACACAAGTAAAATCGCATGCCTATAAGTGACACACATCACCACCAAAACATTTCTCTGGCCAAAATCAGTGGAATTACATGTGCTTCTCAAACACCGGAGAAGTTGGCAGTCAAAGTGAATAGATCTGGCCTGGAGAAGGCGGGGGACAGGGTGGTAATGACATGTACAAACCTGAGAAAACATTGCATCCACAGGAGGAAAGGAGAGAGCCGCTTAATAAGAGTGGAGCAAGAATACTGTATGGTCAAGTTCATCTTAAACTGAGAACTGAAAATATAGATTACTAGAACTGCCAAAACGCAAACCTTCCACTTCTACGCTAATTTCATTAAACCACCTATTTGTATGGAGCTTGAAGTTGAGTTCCCCATGGCACCAGGGACAACACGCAACTTTTCTTTTCGTTTATGAAGTGTTTTATTTTTTTTCCTGCACATCTTATCGTTTTCATCAAAGGTAGGTTCATGCAGATAAATCATGAGGGGAAGCATTACTTTAAAGCTATTTCAGAAGACAAGAACACTTGTATATTTTTAAGGAACATCATACTTACTATTTTAGAATAGATGCACATAATTTATTTATTCATTCATTCATTCATTCATTCATTTATTTATTTATTTATTTATTTATTTATTTATTTATAGTTTTTCAAGACAGGGTTTCTCTTTGTGTAGCCCTGGCTGTCTTTGAACATGATCTGTAGACCTGGCTGGCTTCAAACTCACGGAGATCCACCTGCCTCTGCTTCCTGAGTGCTGGGACTAAATTATGTGCCCAGCTGAGGATACACATAATTCCTAAGCTTGATTCAGCATGAGGATATAAAGTCTTATAAAGTTGCTAGACAGAGAGCTGCTGAGATAGCACAGGTAAAGACTGAGTTCAGGGACTTCAACCCCCGAGACTCACATGTAGAAGCAGAGACCCCACTCCTGCAAGCAAGCTGTCCTCTGACCTCCACCATGAGCACTGTGGCACTCACATGCATGTATGTATATGCATGCCACACAATTGGTTAGCATTTAATACAGGTTTAAATAAACTATAAGCAGTATGTATGTACACTATAATCTGTGGTCTGACATACACATGTTACAAGTCAGGTTTTTGAATTTTATGTCGAGCCCTACCAGCGTATTTTTAGAAATGCTTTCCATAACATAATAAACGTGCTCTTCAAAGCATGCCCAACCTCCATAATCTGTTAGGACTGCAATATTAAAAGCTTCACCTGTTCGAGCAGCCATTGAACACCCGCTATGTATCAGCTGCAATTCCTACAACTTAGGCTCCACTCATGAACAGAAAACTCATGAGCACCAGACTTCGGGAAGCAGCATCTTACAGACATCCAAGCCACCAAGCTTTCTGTTCTACTAGAGAAAGATTATAAATTTACCCTGCACATGTGTGCTTAACATGTTTGCTTTCTTCTTCCTCCTCCTCCTCTTCCTCTTCTTCTTCAAGACTAGTATGAGAGAGAGAAAGGGAGTATATCAAAGAGGCAAAGTGCTAGGTGATGGTCCCCAAGGAGGAAGCCAGGAAGAAAGTCAGACCACACTTTAAACAAACTGAGTATCAGTAGTGTCTGGAAAACACAAACAAAAAGCTAAAAACAGATTTTTGAACTAACCTCCCATTTTGAATGCAGCCTGCTATGACACACTTCTCCTAAGGGATAGGATGACCTCACAGGGTATGACTTATTCCCCACTTGGAAATGGTGCTGAAAACAGAGGTGTGAAGGAGTGGGGCACTGGCATGACTCACTGCTGTTGCCACTGTGTGCCCAAGATAATGTCAGCTTCGCTTGTAACCAGAGGGTAGTCCATCCTCGTCTCTTCTTCGTGGTTTCACGAAGACTGTGCAGTTAGGGAAGACTGTGCACCTGTCTAAAAAGCTAGGCTTTTTGTTTAAACATTGCACATACAAAATGCATGCCTTGCCAAACAGATTATTTGTTTCTCTCTGAGCACCAGTTGGTAAAATGTATTAGCAGTTTTGGCACTCTGTTGTAATCATATCATTAAGTTTTCCCTGAAAACTGATGAGAAATTAAGTGCAAAATCCTAAACCTAATGTGTATGAGGGATCTCTGGAGGACGATTGAGACACTGTGAAATTGAACTGTGGTGAGGGGTACACAGATCTGTGGATTACCTCAATGTTGTTCACTTGAATCATTACATAGTT